ATCTATCTATCTATCTATCTATCTATCTATCTATCTATCTATGTAACCTGGAGCAGAGCGGTTCTCCTCACATGGATCCGGTCCCTCTGGGGTCTCTGTGCTCTGCAGTTTTTTCTGCCGTTTCTGGCGGTCTCTCAGGGCCGTTTTCACCCGACTCACCCAGGCCTGGTACACCAACTGGGGGAGACATTTTCCCATGGAAAGACATATATATGAGTCAGTGTCCAAGCACAAATGGACCACAGAAAGAGTAAACATGAGCCCAGGCCGGACCTGACAGGCCGTTTGCTTCTGAGGCTTCTTTTCCTCAGAGTTCAGGTCCTCCTCATCCTCACTGTCTGACTCGAACAGGTAGTACTCTCCTGAATGAAGGACTGTTGGCAGAAGAGACATGTTGACACACATTCTCTGTGTGTGAGGGAAATCAATACACAGTGGGGGAAATAAGTATTTGAGCCCTTGCTGATTTTGCAGGTTTGCCCACTTACAAAGAATGCTTATTTTTCCTCATCAGATGGTTATCAATTTTTATAAATTCATATGATGTGATTTTCTGGTTTTTTCTTTGGGATTCTGTCTTTTCTGTTTTTTTTTTATTTTTTAAATTTATTTTATTTATTTATTTATATATATATATATATATATATATATATATATATATATATATATATACACATTTATTAAGTCAGAATATAACATACATAAATCATACATGAGAGTATAAGTAAATATATATGCACATATACACGCAGACTTACATATCCATGTATATACGGTGTGTAACAAAATCCTGTATGAAAGCAGTATACTCTTATCAATCCAGTAACAAAAATAAAGACGTACAATAAGAGAAAAAACAAACAAAAAAACAAAAACAAATTCTGTCTTTCACTGTTAGAATGTACATATGATTAAAGTTATAGATTGTTGCATTCTTTGTAAGTGGGCAAACCTGCAAAATCAGCAAGGGCTCAAATACTTATTTCCCCCACTGTACGTATAATCCATTTATTCATTTCTCTCTGGTAACTTTCCACCAGTGAATATCTTAAAGGTTCTTTTACCTTCTCATGGGACTCTTTCCTCTTTCAAAGTCTCCTTATATTTTATATATACACACTTTCTGCCGCTTTCTTCATGCCTGTTACTTGAATGACTGTATTGTAAATATTGCACATTACTATTGATCACTTTCTATTTATTATATCACACAATTTTCTTATTATATGTCTAATTTATCTAACTTGTCTAATTTATGTCTATGTCTGCACGGGAGAGCAAGAAACAAAATTTCAATTCTTTGAATGACCAACGCATGTAAAGAAATTGACAATAAAGCCTACTTGACTTGACTTGACTTATATATGTGATATAATTGGTTTTATTTCAAAATGCAGAACATCCCAGTTGCAGTTTTGTTGCGGAGGGAGATGGATGAATTCACTCTGGTGTCTCTAAGATCAAATTCAAATGGACCTCTTTGAAAGTCTTTTGGCTTTCAAACTATTCTGTCATGCTTTTTATTCAACAGCCCCCAGAGACTAGTTCAATAACAACATTTTGTTCATAGCTTTGGCCCTTTGATGGAGGGAATCAGAGCATTCAGAAGGCTGCATATTAACCTGATCTGAAAACCACTTAGATGAAAAAGTAGTGCCTTCCTTTTTCAAATGTCGGTGGTAAAAGCCAAGGTGTGCCATACCTGTAGCATGGTCAAATACGGGCTGGTACCAGCTCTTCTTCTTGGCGTCGCTGTCATTTTTCTGGGTTTCTGATGGAAAACAACAGTGCCTTTGATTGTAGGATGTGGGCCCATGCAGTTCTATCGATGTTAAGTCATTTAACTCCACTCATGCTGCCCTGTTTAGTCCAGCTTTTATAGTACAAGTCACAATCAGTCCGATACAACCTGGCAAATGGTTCTCTTCATTTTCAGGTTGAGCTAAAGAAAAAACCCGTTTCCCAGAGTTGACATAGCAGGGATGAGGGATGTTTAAAGGCTGAATGGATGTCCTACCATCCATCTGGCTTTCAGATGAATTTCCATTGGTTTTGTGTCCATCTCTGTACTTCTGCTGCTTGGAGCGGATTCTCTGCATGCTGATGGAGGAGGACAGGAACAGGGACAAACACAAAAGCTCAGAACAGCTTATCAAACTTAACTTCTAGACAGATTTCTAACAACTTATGTCAAGATCTGTGCCCACAACTTACGATCTTTTAAGTTGTGACAGGGATTTCTTTTCGGTCTTTTGGTAGAACTCAACGTTCTTCCTCATGCTGGCTCTGAAGAGCTCGAACCCTCTGGAAGAAAGAGCCAGCTCTCATTAAATTGACTTCATTCAAAGTCCTTCTTAAATTTCTATAAGCAATAAGAGCTTGTGATGGAGGTGTGTTTTGTTGGGTGATCTCCTCAGAATCTCCGGCTAATGATGTCACCAGTCATCAATGTTGGAGCTTTGGGAAAAATCCCTTTTGGGAATCCTCAATAAAGGCAAGGCCGGATGTTTAAGCTGTGTGGTGTGTCGTTCAGGGTGTGCTGCACAGAACTAAACAAGCCAAAGCTTCATTTCAGTTCCAGGATCCCAAAATCTGGATCAGTCCTCCAGAAGACGTGAGACAGAACCCAAAACGCTTCTGTTTAACTCTGCAGATGGAAACTGAATGGTTGTTATCTGCACCCTTCACTTTTATCCATCTATATTTTATTCTTTTTCTTTTCTTGTTTTTCTGCTTTTAAATTCCTTGTGAAGCATTTTGAATAGTCTTGTACAAAAAATGCGCTATACTAGGTGAGCAATCACCACGTAAAGAGATGCAGACTGTCCTTATGATGGGCTGACCATGTTCTGATTTCCAAAAAGAGGACACTCCTCCTCCAGACGGATCCAGACAGGCTTCTCAGATGTTCATGAACATGCTTTATTAGACCTCAATGGGACAAAAAGAACTTGGTAGTAAAACACAATCTGGAACAACCAGGAACTAAATGATAGCCCTCCTTTAAAAGACATCCATCAAATCAAATCATCTTCTAAATATGACCTCATCTGGATTAGAAAATACAGCTTCTACTAAATCCCTCTGAATACCCTCTGAATGGAAGAAATAAACACTCTCACTACCATACAAACCCAACAAACAAAAAGATCTACACTAAGTAGAGATCCTTTTAGTATCTATACACAAAGTAGAGATCCTTTTTGTATCTATACACTAAGTTTATATCCTTTTGTATCTATACACTAAGTAGAGATCCTTTTAGTATCTATACACTAAGTTTATATCCTTTGTGTATCTATACACTAAGTAGAGATCCTTTGTGTATCTATACACTAAGTAGAGATCCTTTTTGTATGTATACACTAAGTAGATATCCTTTTTGTATCTATACACTAAGTAGAGATCATTTTTGTGTTTGTCTCTGTGTGTGTATGTGTGTGTACTGTAGTATTCTGTACAAAGCGCCAGTCGATTTAAGCAGACGATTGTGGTCCCACGATAAACAGTGAAAACATTTTCATGAATTTATGAGGATTTAAAAAGTGGACGTGTCCGGGCAGAAGAGGACGTTTGGTCAGCCTAGCTATACAAATAAACGTGGCACATTGATCTTCACCTTCAAGAGAGAAAGGTTGTAGTTCTAACCAGCAACGGACTCACTAGGGACACGCTACAGACTGAGTAACACATCATTATAATATCGTAATAATTCTGTTATGTCAGTGGGTTTTTACCTGGACGCCTGCTTGGCAGAAGCCCGCAGCTCTGCTGTGACGTGCAGGAAGTAGAAACTGAGGAAGACCCGTCTCTGCAGTAGAAGGCAGAGGAAGCAAAAGCTGTCCCAAATGATTCCTGCCTCCTCCACTGGGAGGGTGCAGCTGCTGCCACTCGCTGCGTTTGCTGCAGGATTAAAGCAAAAAAAGAGCACTGTGAAGCAACCCCTGGCTATCCTCCTGCAAGCCTCTGTGATGGAAGTACTTACGGTCGTAGTACCCTTTGACAGTGCAAACCAGGCTGAAGACCTGAATCACCCAACAGAATCCCTTTTGCATCTCAAAGACAAAAACGCAGGCCAGGATCTGAAAGAGACACACAGTCTTATGGAGCCTTTCATCCAACTCAGGAACGCACATTCCTCTGCTCCAGCTCCACAGTCTCACATCAAAATGTGATGGAGAGATCAGATTAGAGTAGTTTAACCCTGGTGGAGGAGATTGACCTTAATCAGTCCAAAGCAGTGTTAGTGAACAGAAAGAGGTGGGAAGAATTGTTATGGACAAGCAAACCAGAAACAGAGGTTCTCCACTCACAGATAAAACGTTTTTAGATACAATGACGGCCACATTATAGATGATGAGGCAGTCCCACAGGATGAGCCGGGTCCTGGACGACGTGACCAGCAGTTTGGTTCCAAACAGCAGGAAAAAGAAGGAAGCCAGAAGGTAGCCCAGTCCAAAGATGGAGATCCTCGTGGCCCCTGTGATGAAGACCACTGACAGCACAAACCAGAAGAAGTACCGGAAAACCAACACCTTGGCCATATCCAGATAGCTCCTGGAGGAGGACAGATGCAGGAAAACTCAGTTAAGTGTCCAGAGTTCCAGGTCCAGGTCTAATTCTTTGACATTTTCCTTTTTTTTCATGCATTTGAATGGGCTGATATAGTGCTACTCATACTCATAAACAATCAATCAATCAATCAATCAATCAATCAATCAATCACTTTATTTTGGTAAATTGCCCACATTAAACACAAGAAACAACAAAAGAAAAAAAGAAAAGAACAATAGACAAACCCACAGTTTACCAAAAAAGGAATAGGCCGAAGCAAAGCTTATTCTTGCCTACCCTATTTTTTACCTTACAACCTACCAGGATTTCTTCAAATTCAGATTCAAGTATATAGTACATATATAGATCTACATAACAGCGTAAGATTTTATCATTTTACATTTTAAAGCTCTTTTAAAGATCACCAAGAAAGGACATAACTTAAATTAAAACACAATGTTCTGTGACTTATTTTCTCATTGCATTTATCAAACCTGCTGACTAGGTGAGATGAGTCGAGGATAATAAAGACTCCCCAGTGAGTGTCTTGGCTGTAAAGCCGTGTATTTTGGTATTGTCTGCTTTGGCTGCCTTTACCTGCAGTTGATGAAGTTAGGAGCAGGGTTGAAGAGCCGGCCCTCCATGGGCTCAGGCTCATCCGTGTTCTCTCCCACCACAACCATCCACTCCTCTGTGTGCTCCCTCTCAAACACCGCCCACTGCTGGGACGCACACATCAGCAGGACAAAGTCCGCTGTGGAGGACACAGGCCTCATCAGGCACAGGTGTAGAAGGGCTTTACACAAATGCACACAAGCGGTTTTAAGATATCCTCACTCAATGAAAATGAATAAGAGAAAGAAAAATCATTAACTCATTGACTGGCAGCCATTTTCAGAACAGAGTCCCATACTGCCAGAGTTTTTTGAGCATTTTGACTGATTTTTCAAGAGCCACAGAATAGTTTGTGCTATGACTATGTAAACACCGAACACACCAAAAGAAAGAGTAGACTCTTTTCTTTCATCAGGAAAAAATATGTGTTTCTACCTTATTCCGTTCTTCCTGGACTTGCGTCTCACCGG